ATGCCTGGGCCAAAGAGCAAGGCGAAAGCTAAGGCCGCACCCGCCTCAGCGCGAGGACGTGACAGGAGCCGTGGGGATGAATCGATTACGATGGGATTTTGGGAGGGGTGATGGACAGCAACAGTTTGGAATGCTGGGGATCACAGAACTGGTTCTCAAAAATTGGAACAGATTTAGATTTAGATTCGATACTTGAATCTTGAAAAATGCGTCGCTTGTTACTCTGTGGATATCAGTCATTGAGTTGGGAAGATGAACAGTTGTTAACGGTGGATAAGACATTGAAGAGCCAAATGCTGGGAAAGTGCCAGTATTTGAATTTGGTGAATGATTTGATGAATCTCTGGTGCATCGGTGTGTTTGATGTTGCAGGTTCTGATGTTGATCGTTGCCCGGAGCACGTTTAATGGTACCGTGCTAGATGTTTGCAAGTTCAACACGTTTTTCTCCAGATGATTTGCTAAAATTGGCAATTTTGGAAGGTACGTTGCACCTGATTTGGGATCAGAGTGCGACATGTTACCCAAAGTTTCAGTTGGTTGTGGTAATGTCGGATGAATGATGGGAATAAAACTGCTACCCCTGTCTCAACCCTTGGAATGTGGGACATTTTGCGGACCCGAAAATCCCCGGTGAGGTGAAGGTCACCGGTCCGAACCCAGGAGATCCGTCAGCCCATCACCCCTGAAGCCAGATGTGGAGCCCAGTCGGGCCTCATCGTCAAGGCGGCAGGGCAATGGCATCGATTCAAAGATGATGGTCGATTTGATATATCCAGCAACAAGAAAAACCATGGCAATACCATCATTATGTACACCAGGGCCGGACCCTTCAGATTTGTCGGAAGTCACTCCAGGCCGGAACGAGAGAAGGAGAAAGTGCTCAACGCCGGGCACTTGGCACCGGGATTCGCCATTTGCAGAGAGCCGAGCCATGTGTTGAGGTGGAACCGATATGGCGGAATAAGACCGTCAGAGGTGCAGAAAACCTCCAAATTTACGAAATGTACTTGGCAAATGCCTTCTACAACTCTCGAGTCTTCAGTTTTCCAGATTTGTTGATCCGTGAGTCGTGTAGACCTTTCCAGTGCAGGGCTCTTCTGCGATCCCTACATCGGTGCAACCAGCCTGGAAGGTGGCAAATCATCTCAGGCAGAGAGCCGAAGGATCTCAAAATATGTTGGGTTTTTTCAGGTTGGATCTTGCGATTCCAATGTAGTGACTGCCCTGAAACATCTTGATTTTGAACTTGTACCATTTGGTCCAGGCGCTGCGCGACTTGCTGGCAATGGTGGTTCCACATCGATGCCACCTACACATTCTACCATAACCATGATTATATATGATTATATGATGTAGCATATCTAGATTATATGATGTGGTATATCTGGAGGTCAATAAATCATATTTTTTGATCAATCAAACATGACCCAGGTCAATCAAAATGGATGGATAAAAATGTGCCATGAATATGTCATGGATCAGATTGTTCAATAAAAATGGATAAAATCATGTACTTTAAATCAATACAATAAAAATGTCATACATGATATGTACATATAAAAAATGGATGTGTCATGGATAAAAATTGTGATAAAAAACATGTGCCATCCAGGTGACCTGGTGGATGCTGGCAGTGAACTTTTGGAGTCGACCTGCATCCTGCCGCTGGCGGAAGCGGACCTGGCGGCACTGCGTACCTTGGGAGCGTTACCAAAAACGGTGGAAAAGTGAGGAAAACCATCCGAAATCCTTGGAAAACTGATAGGTGTTCAGCAGATTTGTTGAAATTCCTTCTGAGTTGTTCCTGTTTTCATGAAGGAACGTCATAAAGACGAAGTATTCCATACCGAAGCTTGAGTTGATGTGTGTGGTGCTTGCACTTTTCTTTATTTGCTGCTTTGCTTCGGCACTGTCAGCAACCGCTGCTTCCATTGAAAATGGTGGGATCACATGTTTTTTGCGTCTGAAACGTCACATCAACATGGTTGGTTTGGTGGTTCGCGACCAAGCTGTAAGTACAACATGTTTGCAGCACGATGCAGCCTGCAAAAGTTGGAGAGAGACCATTTTCACCATGATTCATCGTTATGACGTGGATTTTTGTGATGAGAGTGGCGACCATTATTTGACCGTGACCCAAGGCACTGCGCTGCAAGCCTTGCGGGAAGCCCTGGCGCGCAGCGAAGCAGGACACGAGGCCTTCAACTGCCAGGTTGGGCCATGGGTTTTCCGCGCTTTGATTTATTTCAGTGCTGTTCAAGTGCCGAACTTTTGCGGGTCTTGCATTGGATGTCATTTGTTTTTTTTCGGAGGATGGCATGCGCTGGTGTGACGCCTCTCGGCCCCTTGGTGTGACGTGGCGGGACTCGGGACGTGTTGCCGCCGACTCGGCTTTCCGAGGAAGGAGATTTGGTCGTTGAAAGCGGGGCAGCGATGGCTCTGTGAAGGCGGCTGGAGAGGCGCCCTGTGCCAGCCATGGCCAGCCATGGTACCATACCATCACCCCAGCCATGATGTCACAATCGACAGAGCTCCTGTGCCAGGGGATTCGGGTGGTCATGCTATCATGCACCTTGGTGAAGGCTGTCTAAGAGTCATATCATTTGTTTTCAGGCTCGGGCGGCACATTACTTCCAGGGAATTTTCACTTAGACCTGTTACTGCGCGGTAAGGTACATGATTGAAAGGAAGTCCGAAAGTATCTCGGCTGAACTCCTGAGTTCTTTCACCACAAATGTTGGAAGTCACTTGCATCCGAGTCACTTTGAAATTGAGGCGACTTCGCCTTCCGCGTTTTGAATTCCGGCGCTGGGATTCATCAGTTTCACAGCTGCGATGTGACAGCACTTCAACAAGGCAAAGCTCGGTACCAAACCGGGTCCGAATCTCAGCCGGGGGAGACCTTCCGTCAAGCCTTAGCCCGTCCCCATTTCACCTGTAGTGCTCTACCGTTTATTCTCCGCCAAAGTTCGCTATCACTATCAATCAACAATCATTATCCACCATTACGGCCCTACACCAGAAATTCGGGTTTTGATCGCACGTGTTCCAGGCTCTGCCTTTTCCCCGTGCAGAAGGAACGCCTAAGTCTGGCCTTCCTCTACACATTGCCTCTCGGAAAGAGTGCGAGGTCTCATCATGTTTAATCATTACTTGAAGATATTTGCCAGAGATTCCTTTTGAAATTTTAGAAGCACAAGGAGATCATGAATGTCAGAGACATGCATACAAGCATCAGATATCTGCGAGATCTTTCCAAGGTTCCAAGTGTATTTCATACGACATCGTTCTCACACCTGCTGGTTCCTCTACGAAGTTTTGCTGCCAACGCTGCAGTCTGCGGATCTTCCAGCTTCGGGAGCAGGGAGCACAACTCCACAGCGAGCTGGGACATGCTATGCCAAATGCATGTTTTTGGCCTTGCGGACACTACTGGCAGAGCTAGGTGTGTCCAAAGTTGCTCGAAGAAGAATCATGTTCAACTTTCGATTTTTCTTTTTGGAGAAGATGGTGGCAGATTTGGACCGCATTCAACGACTTCCAGATGCAGATGCCAAGTTGACCATCAGCGATCGGATCATGTTGACGGTGGCACTGAAACAGGTCGCACGCCGCTGTGTCAGAGACACTGAAGCCTCTTCCGCATTGGAACGTGCACACATTTGTTTGCAAAAGATTTGGTTAGCTGCTCCGCCCATGCGTTGGCTGGGCTTTTTTACTCGCGAAAGATCTGACTTTGCTGCCGTGACGGTGGATTTTAAAGCATCCAGTGGATTCTCCAATGATTTCAGAAATTTCAGGTTACACTTGCTCTCAGCGTTGATTCCTCCAGATGTTCGGAACGCCTTCGCTGGGCCCACGGCCTCCAAAGCATCCAACCCTCACGTGGATTTGACGGGCATTGCTTCAGCTGAAGCAGCTGCAGGTGGTCCAACCCTTGAGGCCTTGACCCAGGCGCTGTTGATGTGCGACGCTTGGTTTTTTCCATAAAGTCTTGGTGTCAAAGGCTTGGTGAATTTTTACTATACCTTAAGATGGTTGGCTTAAAATTTGATGTCTTTACAATTCTTATTCGTTGGTTAGTTGATGACTTGGCTTAGATGTATCATTCCTGAGTCAGTTGTTGTTGGCTCAGGACATGGTTGGAATCTCGAAATGCCAACACACTGTAGGCTGTGGTGTTGGTGGTCAGGGTTGGTTTGACAAATAGCTATGACATTTCATGAAATCGTCCACTTCAGGTGTGGTAACACCAGTTGACACGCTGATTTGGGGTGCCACAGTTGGATTTGCCTGATGAGGATCGCTTGGAGGAGGTTCTCAGCTGTTCCCGGCGTTCCAAGCGTCTGATCTGCGGTGTCGTGGAATCTTTGGTTTTCGAAGGCCTGGTTTGAGCGCTGTGCAGCTTCAAAATGATGTCCATTGTGGAATTGACTGTGAGTATGCGGGTGCAACACGATGCAAATTTTGCAGAAAGCAAAGCATTTCAACTGGATTTTGACTTATGAGTTATGGTGTTCCATCTTGAGAGATTGGCACCAGGTCGCGGTCTTTGGACATCTGATCTGAGCACGGCGCCGGGCGACACGTTGCGTGTGCTTCATCGCCTCGCTGCCCACTACTTGGCCGCGGTGAAGTCGTCTCCGTTGGGCCGCAGCTCGAGTGCCACGGCCGTTTTGGTCATGGCGTCTCTGCTGGAACTCTTCGAAATCACGTCCAAGTCATCGACTGGTGGCGGAGTGTTCTCCAGAATTATTGGGAAAAGTGGATCTGCTCCGCTCTGGTCCCTACAACCCTGGGAGAAACCCGATGGTCGGCCAGCCAGTTTTGCGGATCTCACGGCTTGGTTGCCCATGGTCTCTCCAGCGCAATGTCACCCGGACCAAGCGGATGTGTATTCTATTTTTATGTTTGCGCTATTTGCGCTATTACTACCTATTTATTCATATGCATCTAAGTGGATACAGGTGGATGGGTGGATAGGTAGGTAGGTAGGTAGGTAGATGAATTGTTAGCAAGACTGACAGGTACAGAAATAGATGGACAGGTTGAGGGGTAAACAGATAGATAGGTGGATGATAGCTAAATGACAGACAGGGAGAGAGAATTGCGTATGTATCCATTTCTGCGTGCGTACATGTGTCTGATTATGTGTTTTTGTGTTTGCTGGACTGTTTCCCTTTGCGTATCAGATGGTCGGCCCATAACATTATGTTTTGGCCACGTCAGAAAAGATGGCTGCAACAGCTTCTGACAATCCCTTAAGCCCAAGTTGGCCTGATGTCTGAGTTGTTTTGGCAACATGTGGGGGCAAGAGACTGATGGCGTGATGACGTCGACAGGCCGTGATGCCCAGCCGTTTTGCCACTGAGGCGAAGTGCGAAGCAGGATTTGCCAACGCCATGCAACCGAAGGCTCAGCTAGGTCAAAGTACTCATGTGATGAGATGTGTTAATTACTTGTGGGTTCGTGTTTCATGCACTTCCAGGAAAACTCTTGGGGAAGTTGGATGAGGGAAACCCGCCCAAGAGGAAATGAAGATAATGATGCATGAATATGCAATGTTTTATGCATGTTTCCATGTTTCCACAACTGCCTTGCTTTTGAGAGGTGGAAGCATCAAAGACGTGTCGCATGGTCGGCTGTACACTTCCTTGCAAGACTCGTCGCTTCTGTTCGGACCGCCTGAGGGTGAAGATTCCGAGATGTCAGGCGTCGGTAAACACATCTTGCTTTTCGTGCGGCAGCTGCGCAGCGGGATGAGTGGTAGCACCGCAGGTTCTACAACTTTTCCTTCGGTGCTTCCAGCAATTGATCGACCATATCAAGATTGGGAGTTGGATTTGGCGTGGAGTTTTGATCCCACATTTCTGGCCGAATGTCCTGAATGGCGACTCGCCTTAGATTTGGCCGTGTTTTATCAGATGACGTTGGCCTCGGTTCCGAGTCTCACATCGGCCCTGGAGGGTAGTGGCACCGCCCCGGCCGATCACATCTTGAGTGCCCAGGAGGCAGAGATCCACTACACCATCAGTTTGTTCAACCCACCAACCAAACTCACGGTCCAAGTGCAGCATGTTTGCACTTTACTTCAAAGACATCCCAACAAACTCTATTCACAACCATCTTTGACACATCCCAAATTGTTGTGTTCTTCGCTGCCCTATCTGCGATTCGGTGGCGCCATGGAGAACGAGATCATCTCGGCCCCGATTTTGCCGGACTTCGATTTCTCCCTGACACAACAACAAGCGGAGTCCTTGCTTTCGATTCTCAACTGCCCAGGTGCGACAAGAATTAGAACTCCCCAAAATCCATGAAAGAAGTGAATAGCACTGGGATGGGAATTCGGTGGTGTTTGGATGACAAGTGTAACAGATGATTGGTGTATTTTCTGGTATGTCCGTTTTGTTTAACATCAAGTCTCAGCTTATCGCATGCAAACGTTCCAGGTCTTCGAATCCCATTGCTGCTGGAGTTCCTGGTTCCCAATCACATTTCGCTGTTGCATCACCGTCAGTTCCAACGAGTCTTCTTCTGCTGTTTGTTTGAGCCGGGCGCCTACGGAGACAGCCAAACGTTTTTGGCGAAGGATTGGAAGATCCCAGCCGTGGAGACACTCTCTGTGGAACTGGGCTGGTTACATGAAGAATTGACGAAATCACCACATTTGATGCTGCCTTCATTGAACCAACTGTTTGAAGCCATGAAGGATTTGGGCAGCGGATCTTTCGACGGACCTTTGGTACAGCCATTTCTCTTCGTGGTTCACGTGGCCCTGTTGCTGCAAGATTTCATGGCACATGCGAAAGAGAAAAGCATCAACACCAAGGCCCTGGAGTGTTTGGAGGAACATCAGAAACTCTTCCGACGCTTCACTCAAAAGTTTGCCCGGAAAGTCTTGGCCCGTTGGATCCGACAAGCCAATAGTGCTAAAGCCTATGATGTGTTGATGCAGTGCCACGCCCACCTTGCTATGACCACTTGGCCGAAAAAGCACCAAATGGAGGATGATGACACACAAAGTCTGGCCGTTGCATCTTGTACCTTCAGTTTGTGGAGCGAAAAGATTGGGGACTTGAGCTCTGTCGAGCATCCTGGGGACCAAGCAGACATGATCCATTTGGTGTTCAGCACGCTGAGTCGACATCGAGTTCTTTTACTGAAATCCGTGGAGGAAGAAGATGAAACTGAGAGGAACAAGTATTTCAGTTTCATCTTAGGTGGGAGCAAATCAAGAAAGTGTGGTTTTATGAAGACAAGTAGTGGGTCGTCATAACCAGGCGGTGGTGCCCCGAAACCCTTTCTTTGAGGAAAACCAAGGGGTGACAGATTTTGTTTTCTCCAGGCGGTGCTTTGGGCAGCGAGCGGATGCCTCTGTTGGCCTGGCGTGCGGCAGAACAAACGCCCAAGGTCTGTTTCCGTGTCCTCGAAACGAATCATCCGATGACCACGGAGGATTTGTCCAGCAAAGTGGTGAAGATGCCCAAGGCAACACGGATCATCCTGCGTTTCGATCCCCTGAGCCACTTGGAAACGGGTGACGTTGTGGCGGTTTTGGCCGGTGAATCCAAAACTGCTAAGTCCATTTGGCGCGCAGGGCGTCATGATGTGGCTCGAAACGGTTGGCCCGGAGTGGATGCGCCAGGGTTGGTGATTCAAGGTGACACGTTTCGGGTGACCTTGGAACGGTTGATGTCCTTCAGCGCGGGGGACACGGCCTATGGCTACCGCATCATCGCAGAAGCTGAGATGCCACCAGAAGCCGTGCCATCGATGCAGAAGCAATGCGATGCTTCGCCCTTCGTTTGTGCGTCCATTCTGTCAGAGGCCAGATTTTCGGTTACTTCTGAATCATTTTTTTGCACGGATTTTCTTTGGGTTTCTGAATCATGTATTTTTTCACCCACGGATCATGAGCCAAGTTACTTGGCAGGTAGGTGGCGATGTGAAGGAGGCTCTTCAGCAGTACAAGCGCCGGGAAGTGCGGCAGAAGTGGGAAGAACTGGAAAGCCTCAGTGAGGCCGCGGAGATGTGAAGACATGCGGTGGTGCGAATAGATGTATACATGACTGAGATTGTTGCAATACATGGTAGCGTATAATTGTTCAATTTGATTGCCAATTTTCCTTTGCGGAAGACTGTGATGGGTTTGTTGTGGGCAGTTTCTTCCAATTTGGAGAGTGGTGTCAGCGGGAGAGCGCAGCCAGGCGCGAAAGCAGAGGTTGGGGCTGAGCTCAGGTGGCTGTTTCTATGCAGCACATGCTGAGGAGGTTCAAGACACCTGGCTCACAGGAGTGGCACAGAGTGGCACCTGGCTACGATTTCCTGTGGTACAACGATTTCATCAGATTTCAGCGTACCAACTGGGTTGTGCTGCATGTTATGTTGATCTTGATGTAGAAAAAACAGCTACGACTTCAAGTCTCCATGTAGATCTGCCAGGAGCTCGAGTGGATCTGGGCATGGCCAACATCAGCTTCGAGGCACCACAATGATTTCTGGCACGTACAAAGTGGGTCATGGGATATTTACCATGTTAACATGTAGGGTTATCCCATGATTAACCATAAGTCAGATATAACATAAGTAGAAGTGGTGTTGGGATAACGGATGACTCCACATAATCACAATGCACCTTGCTCAGGCTCGAGAGACCTTGCAACCCATGCCGTCCGAATGCTTTGATGATCCAGATGCTTGCAGCAGACGCATGCGTATTCTATAGGTTTGTCATTATTGGATATTTGGGATGATTTAGAATGGTTAGTTACGGTTAGTTGATGGGATGGTTTATCATTGTGTAATCACCACCTTTCCAATCTCTCTGAAAGAGTTAGCAAGGTGTTTTTTTTGCAAAGGATTCATGATGATTCATGTGACCCCCAGCTCGGCACGAAAAAATGCTGCAGGCTTGTGTAGCTGAGGATTACCGCGAAGCTTTGGGAAACGAACGTCCCAATGTCCTACCTGTCTCCGATTCCTTGTATGCAACGCAATTGAGTTTTCGATGTGGAGGGGTGGAATATACAGCAGAGATTTGGGTCACTTGGCAGTCAGTTTTCAGGTTTTTCTTTTGGTCAATGCGTTTCCGAAACCCTCCCAGAGTTTGTCACTTTGATGTGTTCCGTGATGCCATGAGTTGGAGAGCTGAGGCAGCTTCTCCTGAATTCAGATTGGCCTTGGACTACGATCGCGGCATCAAAGTTGGAGGGAAATCTGAAGCCGTGCCATACGTGTTTCATCCGACCCACATGCCTACCGGAATCCATTGGCGGGAGCAGACTTGGACTGAGTTAAAGGTGAAAGATTTGCCGGAACATCTGCAGACACACCACAAAGGTGCCCCACAGATGAACTTTTCCCAGGTGTTTCTGTAATGTTTTACCAGTTTTACATGTTGTTGGAACATGTTGGAACCACCCAATTTTCGTGCCAGGTGCTGGCAGTGCGGTTTTGAAGGCTTTGTTGTCAACACCACCGCCGGATCCGACTTTGATGAACGAGCCAGAACCATGGTACATGCGATTCGCCGGGGAATGGTGGAAACAAGCCCGTTGGTACAGCAAACAACGAAGTCCCAAGTCTGATAACATCATTTTCATCTGTGAAATCCAGAACACCTCCACGAGAAGCGCTTCATCATTTTGGTTGGAATTCGAATCTTTCGAAAATCGCCCCGACTTTCTGGTGGCGTTTCGCATCCACGAGTTTGGTCGCTGTGCCTTCCGGGAAGCTGTGTGGACGGCCCAGCGGCGCCAGTCCTTGTTCAGCGCCGACCCGGAGGATGCGGTGGAACTCTTCACCGCGCCCAAGGCCTTAACGAATCAAGCAGGTCAGAGCCGTCAGAGCCAAAAAAAAATAGTGGCTGATGTTCAAGTGTTTTATGGTGATAGGAGGCGAAGTTTCACTATGATTGGTCACTTTGAAGCGCACCATGCGATGATGATATTATGCGGTTTGCTGGACATTATCACTTCCCAACTGAAATCCCTTTTTGAACCAGTCGTTTTCGGAAGTTAATCATGGGGTTTCGACGGCAGGTGAATTGAGACCATTAATGTCACATCCACGGTCTTTGGTACTGCGCAGTGCTGCTGGAAGCTACTTACCTCAACGCTTTCTGCGGGGATTTCTGCCGGAAGTTCTCCTGAAGCATTTCTATTTTTGGCAGATCTCGGCAAATTGCATTGAGGGAAGGCAGGGTTTCGGATACAATTCTTGAAGCATGTCAGGAGTGAAACGCCTTCCCAACCAAAGCACAGCAATGTTTTGGTCTTGGACCATGAACGATGTCACTTGATATTGGGTGGATGATTGAGGGCTTGTCCAAAACCAAACTTGTTTGCCACTCTGTGATCTCCAAAATAAAGCTAGTGCAAAATCTCGTTCCTTGGATATGTTTCCCTTCGTTTCAGGCCTCGTGATGTCTTGTCACGTTGGTTTGGGTATGTTCTACGGCTGGAGCTCTCGGAGTCCAGTGACGTCGCTCGGGTGCTGCGTGTTTTTGACGATGAGTCGACAGAGCAGCTGCTGGACGCCACCCGTGAGTTGGATTCACCGCTGGGGCGCTTGGGGCGAGATGTGAGCTCCGTGGAGCCGCTGTCGCACGTCTTGTTTTGGAGTGCCGACGGTGCCGTGGAACTGCTGGAGATGCCCCGCTTGCAGTTGCGATTTCGCTTCCGGACCGGACCCGTCTTTGAAGGCGCCACCTTGACCTTCAAAAAGAAGTTGTACTGCGAAGCCTATGGAGGTCCCTTGGCACAGCGTCCTTTGTGTTCTCTCTTCTTGTTTCGCTCTTGGCGCACACCTAGGTCAGATGTATTTGGAGGCGTTCGGCTTGGAACCGATCCGCAGACTTCTGCCCAACTGCCCATATGCGTTGCCACCTCACTGTTTCTTGCTGCAATCCGAAGCTGGTGATGCGAAAGTTCCTGGATTTTGACTCTTGCATTTTCTCTTGATAATGCGCCCAAAACCGATAGTCGATGGGTTTAAAACAGATCAACATGCATCCCAATGCAAAGGATTCAAGATTTCAGCTGAGGTAGTGGCTCCTTTGGGTGGATTGAAACGACAGCGGAGCTATCAGGAACCTTTCAACATCTCGGTGTACCTGAAAATCTTCGAAGACGCCTTCTTAACACCAACCGTGGTTTACGATTTGCCCCTGTCCACCGGGAGACTTGAAATGTCCATCTTTGCTGAGCGCTTTGTGGTTGCTTCTGTGTCGTTTGTTGCAACGTGACTATGAAGGCGCTGCCAAGTTATTGCCCTTCGTGTCATCAGCTGCCAGCGATGGCAGTTCAATGCGTCAAGACGAGCAGCGTGCCTTCCAGATGGCCTTGGAAGATACATCGGACAGAGCGCCAGATGCCGTAGCAGTGCCTCAGCTTCAGTTTCATGAGCTCAGACCATTGATCCAGGCACACATTCATCTGCAGGGTCCCTTTGTAATTATGGTCAGGTGGAGGCGTTAAGCAACAGCGCACATTGTGGAAGTTCCGGTGTTTGTCCGGTTGTCCAGATTGATGCAGGGGGGGTCCTTGTTCAATAAGAGAGAGGTATCAAGACATTCCTTGCCCAAGACCTGTGAAGGATACTCATGATTCCCATGCTTGATGCTCAATTCATTTTTGAAATCTCAGGTGCGTTTGCGCCTGGTTCATGCTTTGCTTCGGAGCGATGGAATGAACTTGGAATTGGCAGCCAGTGCATTTGTGGATGCTACCAGCTACATCTCTCACTTGGCTCACGTCAGCAGAAGCTGTTGCCTCTCCTTGGAAGAAGAAATGGAGCTTTGGGAAAGTTTGTTGAAGATTCAGAGTGACATGGAATCTGCCAACCGCTTTATCCAATGGAGACGTAGTTTGTTGACTGCTCGGAAGCAGGGCTTGGAGAAGGTCGCTTTGCAATGGCAACGGCGAGATCCAGGTGCTTGGATTCACACAGTCCTCGATGCTGAAGAGCGGGATGCTTTCTTTACAGCAGGTGTTTCTGATATCGATTGCATCGGACCAGGGCTTAGAATCACACATTCAATGACAGATATTTGTTGTCAGATGCACATTGAAAGATGCCAGATATGCTGACACACACACTTTGTCTCACGTTGCTTCAGATGTTGGATCACATGTTGTCACCCATGATTTGCCCCCTTCAGGAATCAAAAACGAGCCCTTATTCAAGTGCACGGAGCTCCCCACGCAAAGCTTATGGCCAACCTTGCTGGATGTCTTGCAGAATAACAGCATGAAGGAAGGCGTCTTCAGTACTTTGTTGGACATGTGGGAACGCGGCTGCGCACCGGACATGCAAGCGTTGGCCATCAGGCCAGGTAGCCCAGTAAGAAGTCATAAGCATTGTCAGATTTGTGTCAGGTGCAAATCGGAAGTTTCACTCGCTTTCTTTGATGGTATTTTTCCCCACATCTTTGTGTGGGGTTCTTGTTTTTGGTGCTGCATCCCGTCCGCCTTCTCCCGCTCCGCCTCCCGTCGCCTCCCACACAACTTACTCACACACAACTTACTCACACACAACTTGCACACACTTGCTCAGAAATATCTTATCGAATTACTGATGTGGAATGTATCGTACGTGCAAAAAAACACTCCAGTAAACCTGACAGGAGAAATTGGAAGACCCTACGTGGAAAACAGTGCGAAGTATGCTTTCTACGTCCTTGCTCAAAGGAATGTTCTGATGCAGCTTTGTCAGTCGTGAAAAATCAAAGGATAAGCAGATTGTGGCAACTGTGCAGAAACGAAATTGAAAACAAATCGACGTGCCGGTTCGAGGCTTAGCCGGATGCCATTGACGAGGGAATTGAAATGGTGTTGCAGGTACGTAACCAGGCGTCCCTGGTGATACCCTAGGATCATATGAGGAGCTTCGTTGGATGGAGCCTCATATGTCCTCTCCATCCCCCTGCGTGATAAATTGAAATTGGGAAATAAATCATGAAAAGTCAAAATTCAAATAAGCAGTGCAACGGAATCAACGGATAGAAGTTTTACATCTTTTCAGATGGTCCACACACACGCCTCGCTGCCGCGAGGCTACTTTTTTCCGTTTTCGGAATGGTTCGCAAAGCTCTTATTGGTGCCCTGAAGCTGGATGTAGCGATTAACGCAAGACCAAAATACAGGGAAGAAATCTGCTGCTGAATTATTCCTACAGCTCAGAACGCCTCGATGTTCAGGTTCAATCGCTGATGTCAGAAAGTGCCTCCATTCGAAGGTCTTGATCTGACTGCCAGATGACTAGCAAGGTGAGCCAGGTCTGCTGCCGAGAAGATCTGGACCGGATGTCTTGTCAGATCATCGTCTGGATGTTCGAGTCGTTCGAGTATTGCCATGTTGGCATCTCTGTAATTGTTGAGAATGTTCCAGAGAATGGTGGCCAGCTGGTGAATCTGGACAGGTGGCGGAGTAATGTCGACATTGGCGGCGATGGAATCTGTATCATCCATGCCTGATCCTTGTATGGATTCTGGGCTGTCCGGGGCATCATGATGATAATGATGCCAATTTCGGTCATGAGTCTCTTCTGGGATATTGAAATGGCGACGCCAGTAATTGGCAAGTTGGGTCCCAAGAATCTATCCATCCATTTCGATCGGCACGGATGTGTCCGATGATGCCATTGAAGAAGAACTCCGGTTGGCGGTTCCGATGTACCCCGTGCCGGTCGACTTCGGTCACCATGAGGCGACGAGTCTCTGGATGAGAAGGATCAATAACTTCAATGAAGAAATGGGCATGGAGTTGGCGACGTCTCTGTTCCATTTCGCGTTGAAGTGGGTAATTCTCGGTGGGAACAGGAGTGAATGGATGTTGGTTGTCTGCGGACGAAGGGAGTGGGACAGGTGGAGGTTCCGTAGAGTATCCATAAAGAGATGGCTGTTCATGGTGAAGGGTGTCAGAGGATGATGGCCATGTAGTGGACTCAGTGAGGCCAGTACCACTTGGAGGGTGATCGCTCGAAGCCACCGAAGGGGCAGCACTGCTAGGAACACCATGGGGTCGAAATTGACGGCGCGGCATACTCATTGATGAGGAAGGAGAGGTGAAACCGGCAAGGACGGAATTGCGTTTGGTCATGATACAGCTGGAGCCAAAGCTGGAAGTGAAGTGAAGGTGGAAGATAGGCATATGCAACAACAGGACAACGAGGAACGGAAACAAGATAGAGAAAACAAAGAAGAAAGAAAGCAAACAAGGCAGCAAGCGGACATTTTCGAAAACCATGTTACGGAAGCATGTTTCTGTTGGGAAGAGCCTCGTGGCAACTCACTCGCATGATGTACGGCTGGAAGTCTGAGGTGAAGTTACGAATGATTTCCGGAAACAGGCCACATTCCTGTCCTGTGGTCCAGTTTGGACGGTGTTCATGAAGAAGTTCAACCAATCGGTCCTCATTATGGAGGGCGAAAGTATCTCCAGTTTCGTCTTGCCAACGAATGTCCATCGAAGAAGGACGAAGGTAGCGGTCCCAAGTGTACCAAATATGTTGACTGATGGTGTACAGAAGGTTGTACACTGTGAAAGTGTCCAGTCGATGGGTGCTGAGAAGAACATTGTATGTCATCAAAGCTCTTTCTTCTGTTCGACTAAGTGATGGTAACACATCGCAAGTTGTTGATTCCATGATGTCATCATGGACATTGATCATGTGAGATCTGATACCTTCAAGGTTGACAATCACGAGTACATTTCTGAGGCGAGGAGGAGCAGGAGGTGCAGGCGTCCATGGAGCTTGATGATGATGTCGATGATGATGAGGTCGCGGGCGCCACATAGAGTTGTCCCGGGAGCGGGATCGTTCAGGGATGAAGCGAGTGTGACCGGATAAGTGAGCCATAATGACTGAGACAAGGAACATCAAACAAGGGAAGGAACGAAAACAGGGAGAGGAAAAACAAGGAGAGGAAAAAGAGAGAGACAACAGAGAGGAGAAGAAAGGAAGGAAGGAAGAGAACAAGGAGAAGGCGGAGGAGGGAGAAGAAAAGGGGCGAGAGACCGAGAAGAGGCAAAAGAAGAGAAATGACCCCAATCAGCAGCAGCATATTTTCGACAGCGGATCGTGACTGTTAGTCTTCTGCTTCAGGTTCATGGAGTGAATGAACACGGCCATGTTGATCAGTTTGTTTTAGGATGCCCCAGCGAAGTTTGCATACTTGGGGATCCCGATGTAGCCGAGCTCCGATCGTCTTCCACGAAGGACGGGACTTAGTGTCCTGTTTCATGCTTGTCAGCTCTTGATCATCTGCAGGAGTCCATGGGCGGAATGGTGGATCTCGAGGTGGATCAGCTGGATTTGGTTGCATGAGACGAAAGGACGGATTCGTTGATGCTTTGGGATTTGGTGTCAAAGTGAGTGTGGAGGTACCAGGTGGAGTAGTAGAAGTAGAGATGGTGGTGATGGGAAGAGTCGAAGTAGCTCGATAGTTGGTGTCATTGTCTGAGTTGTCATGTGCTGAAGCGGCAGCTGACGGAGCATCACCGTCCGAATCATCGGAGTTGAGGTCACGAATTGGTGCAGCTGATGCAATGGGAAGTGAGCTTGAATGTTCACTTCTGTCCACGATTGTTGTACTGATGGTGGACGCTTTGTCGGATTTCTGTTTCTTCTTCGGTTGAGGATCTTCCGTAGATGAGGCCCTTTGTTTGGACCTTACTGGAACTGGGATAGTAGGGCGAGCTGTGACATGCAGCGGTTCAGTGCGTGCTGCAATGGCAGGAGCAGGAGAGCTACCTGAGTCGTGCATGGAGATCGGAGTTGTAGCTTCGACTCGTGGATTGAGAGCCGGATCAGTGTCCCGGGGATGTGGCGGATGACCAGGAATGGGACGTAGATTGGGTTCAGGGTTCACCACCATGTGGGTCGGAAGACCTCCATGTGACACCATAGTTGATGGAGCTGAGCCAGGAGGTAGAGGGACAAAAGTATGAAGTCCTCTGGGTGTCGGGCGTTCCAAACGGAAGTGTGGCGATGGCATGGAGTCTTCCCATTCAATGGATGGCTCGAAGAAAGGAAGTAGACCCGCCAAATGATTTAGGTGCATATAATGGCCCGAGCCAGGTGATGATGGAAAGCTCTACCTTGAGCGTGGTCCATGGTGCCAATGGGACAAAAGGAGGAGCGAAACACCGAAGTGGGGCGAGATTTGAGCCAAGAAGCTGAGCATCAAAGCCCGAAAACTGAGAAAGAAGAACACACAAACACCGGATGAGCAGGAAGGGACAAGCAACCAAAGGGAGAAAGAACAGAGAGAGCAGAGGGAGAAGAAACGCGCGACACAAGGAGCAGAAGCCGCAATATTTGGCTGGGCAGCTGACTGTTCTGATGCTGAATCAAAAGTTGATCAGATAGTGATTGGAGTTCCTCTTTGGGAAAGCCAGCACGTGTGCACAAGCGAATTCATTGATCGAGGCCTTGATGGACTCGGGCCGTAGGAAAGGCACCCTTGATGACGATGTGACATCTGGATCGAAAGCCGCTGAGAAGAACTTTTGGAGGTGAAGCCGAGTATGGTGAAAGGACTTGAGAGACATTGGTAGGTCCCTGATAGATCAACTCGAGTGGTTTGGTTTCCAGCATGAAGCCAAGGAATTCTTGGTCTGGTTCAGTTTCAAGAATGATGGGTTTGCCATAGAAACCATCATCGAGGAGTACTTCATAGGGAGCAAGATCAGTAAGTCGTCTGTCACCAAAAACCAGGCGGTTGTCAACGTAGCGGATATGTCGGATGAAGAGGTGATGGTTGGAGAGAAGTTGGTGGAAAGTGATGGACCAGATTTGTTCACTGATGGATACCACCATCAAGCATAATGCCGGGGAAAGAGGGCTTCCCATTGGGCTTCCACGGCATTGACGGATGCACTTTTGGCCAAGAGCGAAAGTCTGCATGTTTAGATTTAATCAGGTCTGGAACATCTTTGATGATGGTTTTCCTGGCGACATTGAGACGACGAAACGTGCGTCCTTTGATGATATCGCCTGGATTGTTGGATTTTCCAGGGTAGACAGAAAACACTTCATCGTCGGAAACGTTCATGGTAGGACGAAGGAAGTCAAGAAGCATGAACCAGGATCCGACAAATCTGTCTTGATCGATGCTGGTGAAGAAGCCTGCTAAATCCTGGTTGACCAGGATTAGGTCTGCATCGACAGGTGCTGACTTCAAAATTGATAGAAGAGTGTAGACATCTCCCGTAGCAAAGTGATTTGGGCAGGCCACTGGGATAAGTTGAAAGATAAGTCGAGCCAGGATGTTGAGCATGGGTCGGAAAGGTGACTCCACGAAGGAGATGATGGGTCGTCCGCTGCGGAGCTCTTTCTTGCGCTTCGCCAAGATGTAGCCTGCTGGTAGTTGACGGCCAGCGCCCACCGCCCACGGATATGCTTTTCCGTGTTTTTTCTGGAGAGACGTTGCGGGGGAAGTGACGGTGGCAGTTGGGTCAACTTGGAGTGTTTCAAAGATTGAAGGATCTTGGAAGGTGTTCTCGATGGACTGGTAGTACAAACATGGACAGTAAATCCGTAAAGAGGATGACTGTTTGTCTTCGCAGCGGAACACAGCTCCTTCGAAAGTGGATTGAAGTTGGGTAATAGAGGACTTGGTAATGTGGTTGGTGATGTGTTGGGTGTGTTCTGACCAAAGGTGATGGCCAAGTTCTGAGATGCTGGAAGTTGGCATGGAGGGTAGACCATTGCGTTTT